AGGGCAATGTTCACTGGATTCTGAGGAATGAAGCTCTAGAATTGTACAATCATTGCTGCTTTCTCTCTCAAAATGACAGTTTCATAAACTATTTTCCATAAGTTACAGGTACTCACAGCTGCTTCTCTGTCATTCTGTGTCAAGGATGGAGCCTATTGAAAAACAATGCATTTCATGATCTTAAAGTAGCTTCACAAATTACAGTCGGTAGAAATATTCAGCATACACTGTAGATCCTCCAATCATATCATATGTGGTAACACATATTTATCATATATTAAGTGATGTCAGCAGACCCTGGTTTTTCTTTTGTTCATCCCTTAGTGTCTGAAAACATTGACACAATAAACCTAATTTTTACCGCATTTGCTACTAATCTTGCGATCTGATTGGCTAATTTGTTGCCATCAATAAGAGTCCAGACAAGGCTACTGGCGTCACTGTGTCACGCTCTTGATCACACTCGAAAAAACAAGAATATCAATTGTGGTGACTCAAATGTGGTTGTCTGTACACTTATCGACAACGATATGCGTCATCACAGTGTTACTCGATTTAACAGCGAAAACCACCACTCTCGTCTGTCTCCATTATCTCCTTCAAAAATGCCTCCTTTATTACATGTGTAATGCCCGCTCAAAGAAAGTTGAAAGTGACCGGACATACACGAGATGAGACAGCTGCAAGCTAAAGCAAAAGACCAACCCAGAAAAAAAGCAGTGGTATGCTAGAGTGTTTGCAAAAGATCACTCAAGTTAAAACAAATTCTATACATCACTGTTCCATTCTCATATTGTTAAACTATTCAACATGCAGCACAAACAGCTTCTTCCATCAGCAACTGAAGACAACATAACTGATGTCCTACTCGATGCTTAAAATATTCAGCTAAAACAAAGGATCGATGGTGCTGTAATTGAGCATAATTGATATCATTGCTGAATAGTTTTTTCCCTCTCATGTTCAATGCTGCAAGATATTTTACAATAACTACAGAAATTCTCGCATGCTCATTGGCTCATTTTCATTGTCAATAAGCGAACAGACACATGAATTTGTAATTTATGTAATGCGTCAACGAGTGAGAGCAGACAATTTCACAATTTGCTATTGTAAAAAACAAATTGATGTCAGTTTTTCACACCTCTGTCCTGTTACTGACAATGAATTTCATCGTAACATTGTCAACATTTTTCAACTCTAAATGATTCTGGAAAGGTTCTTATTATAATTATATATAATATAGCTTTAGTCATTATTTTTTTCATAAATCACCTTGCAGCACCTCACTTGCCATTAGCAACTGCTATTGTTACCTGTTTGTCCTGCAACTCATTGATGAGCTCCTTGTCTGTATCATAAGCGGCTCTAACAGACTCTAAGGTGTTTTTCGATGGCTATGATGAAACCAGAGTAATGATAAATATGAATTCCAAACAGATTCAATATAAATACCAGTTGAGAACTGAAACCACTGAGCTACAGACAGAGCTTAATCATCACACATTAGGTACTTGATGTGTAACTCTTCATGCCATGGACATATGCGACTAGGCATGTGTGGAGAGAACATGAAGAAGATCTGATCGA